TGAAGGGTACTTGCAGTTAAAAAGGGAGACATTTCAACAACTCTGCAATAATCTCCGTTTATAAAAGTTTCATTTGAAAACTCAGCTCTTTTTTTGACAGTCTAAAAATGTAACCCTATTCATTTCTTTTCAAGATGACAATGCAACTTGTGCTGTCGCATCGATTAAATCAAATTCGGTTGGCATGTGTCTCATCATCACTGATTTTCGAAGTCTTTGAAATTTACCAAATATTCTTTTACAACTGAAAATGCTGGAAACTTTTGCTGAGTAACAAGAAAACTTCAATATGATGAATTGCATATATTCAGGCGTTTTTTGCTCTCGGTTTGTGTCGACATTTTAGAAAAACTGAATGAAACATCGATTCATCCAAATAAATTGTAGATGCTACAAATTTTATTGTTTCGTTTCAAATTACAGGGATGTAGAAAAAACAAACAGAAATTTAATTAAATGTTGCTGTTCAGTTCAAGCGATCGAAAACGGTTCTACGTAAAATAGATTCGCATGCAGTAGCTTTAGCGATACGTAAATTGGAAGAAATGCATTTAATTGTGGTTGCATAAATTGTGGCGTTTGGTATGCAATGGAAGCATGAGCTTTGTTTTCCAGTCGTTCCAGCTCCATTCAATTCGATTAATGCAAATGCACTAACGATTTTGAATTCATTCTGAATATTTTTCTTCAAGAATCAAAGAAATTGAATGAAAATGAAACAAAATCTGTTCCCCTCAACATTAATTTTTCTAGACCGGTCGAATAAAGACTTCAATAAATTTATCGCTGTGAAAAAAACAATTGACATGTCCGTCTACAGAAAGAACAGACTGACAAAGGGCGAAAAGTGAATGAATAAATGTATGAGGTGATAAATAATCATGTCGCCAGCAGCAGCAGCATCGGCACAAATTACTCGATCAGACAACAGTGTACTTATTCTTATTTTCAGTCAACATGTCCACCGAATGCTGCGAAATCATCATTACATGTGTAATCCGAGAACCGATATGGAGCCATAAACAATGTTCAAAAGCGACGAGCACAACGTGAAACTTGTTCCATAAATTATACGAAATATTTATGAAAACATTTTACTTTCTATAAAAAGAAAACACCGAATAAATTCTTTGCGTATGGCGAGAGAATGCCAAGCGAGCGCACGTGTATTGTGTACACGTAGCGCTCACATTTTATTGGCAGCAGCGTTGATTTTTTTTTTATTTCGGTTCGATAAAGAACGTCCAATGTTCATAATTATGTTGATTTCGTTGTTATCTCAAACAACATCATCAACACTCAGCGCCTATCGTTAAGCATTAAAAAAGCAGAAGCAACCAAATGCGATGCATTCAACGAAAAAAAAACTGATTCTGTTCCATTCATTAACATAAATGTCACTGAAATCACTCGAAAAACATTTCAACCTGAATGAGATGAATGCTTGGAAATGATAAGACGAATAGTTTAAATTCTTTCTTACAGCGTAGCGTGGAAAGTGATAAGAGACAGTACTGGAATTTCCAGTGATGTACAACGAACACGGACGGAATTGAAGAGATGAGAAAAGAGAAGCACATTGAACTTAAGAACGAGATGAGTAAGCTAATAAATAATCTGCACTTTTCATTATCTTTCATTTTATACTTGATAAATATCGGCTAATTTCAAAATAACCCATTAGAAATGATCCGAAGTATCGATTTATTTGCTGACGTATTATCTGAAAGGTGACTATCTTAATGCCATTCCCTGTGCAATTTGTCCGGTTTAATGTTGTTATCAACGAAAGTGTGAGTAATAAAGTTCGTTTTTATCATTTCTCTTATCTTCAAGTGAGTAACATCAGCTCATACTTTAGATAAAGAAGAATGGATAGTTTTCTTTCTGTTCGAATGGGCTTGCTGAAGTCATCGGTTGCAGATCGTTTGTAATAATAAAAGTGTGAAACGTGACACACTTACTACGATTTATATGAAACCTTCTAATAGGTAACAAACCTTTTCTGATATAATAGCATCGCTGAGAAAGCGAAAGCTAGGAAGCAAAGTTTCCACTGGTCCGAGTAAAACTGGCACATGAACTGAGGAGGCAGACAACAAAACATCGCAAACAGCAACAAAATGAATTTATAAAATATTCGAATACGTTAAAATTGCGTAGCCCAAGAATTCCGACGCAACTCAACTCAACTCGTTGAATTCATGGTTGTTTTATGGTGCGGGAATTATCGAATTTATTACAGCTTTCAATTGCTTCAATTCGTAGTGCTATGCACTATATTTTATTAACAAGTTGTACATCGAAATCGAACACTGACAGCCGATGAAGTAGAAGCTAAGTGGTGAAAAAAGAATCTGAGTAAAAAAAGGGAAACATTTTTTTCTGTTTACAACGCGAAATAATATTGATAAAACAAATTCCGAAATTTTATTTCGAGTTCGAATGTTTTTATCACGTACCTTCGTCGTCACTATTACCGCTTCGATGTTAGAGCATTTTAAGGATACCCTGCAAATGTACATTTATGTAAATGGGAAATGGAAATACCGTGAAGTGCATCGAACGAACAACAAAAGTTATGCTATAACAAGCAACGATATTTGTTGTGTGTGTCATAGGAAAAGGAGTCGGGAGCGAAGCGTGAGGTGAACGAGTTTTTACAAGAATTGAAACAATAAAATTTGTTCGCGTCAACTCATAAATGTTGCGTTTGATTGTAAATTGTTTACTCATATATATGTATAGGTACACAGTGTACGCGATACGCTACGGTCCCAATGAAATTGTAATCCACGATGAACTCATACATTTGGAACGTGAGCTCCATTGCAGCAGTCTACATCGTATCCAAATAAACGACAAGCATATGGTGAATGTGTACCGACTACGCCATGATCAACGACTCAATGCAATTGAAGTTGTGTGCTACTACGTCGGTCGGTCCTATGTGATAATAAAATTCGAACGAATTCAACAAATGAATGCTGTTCATACGGTTGTAGTTCATCACAACATGTTGATCGATTGCCATCCCGACAACGCACAAAAAAATAACAACCAATGTTGCAGTTTATTTGATTTGTTCGCACCGATATAAAACTTTATCAGCCTATAAAGAACTACGTGCACATATCTTGGCTCAACCTCACTGGAAATTCATAATCAATAATTGAAATGAAGTGGAGAATTTACCGAATTATTTTTCGAGAGAATTTTTATTACATCAATAAATTCTTCCCATGAATCAAAATGCGTTTGAAACATGAACGAAGATGTTGGAAATGATAATTTATTAAAACTACATTTCGAATCATCAAAAAGGTCAATAGCATTTAAAGTTCAGACGATAAAGGAAATATTATATCGTCCACGCACTGATACTACATCACAAGAACTAGTTGGCGAAGTGGGGTCCTAGCACCTATAACCTTATATTGACTCAAAGGTAAATAGTAACCCGAATAGTTTATTCAAAAAATTACAATGATTTTTCATTTTTTGTGTTCTGCATCAGACGTTCGCTTTTTTCAAGTGGTATCAAATACCATAAAGTAAAGAGTAGTTTTTACAGCATAAAATATAATATCAAATAAAAGACACGAAGAGCAATAAATAGTTTGTTTCATATTTACATTTGTAATTCAAGAGGCCAGTGATGAGATGCATTTATGATGTAAAGCATGTCTGCCTTTCTAGCCCTAAAGCAATGATGGAATCGTCAAAGTGCTTCTCGGCGCAAATATAAACACAAGAAATGAACCTACCACATGAACATTGAACAGAGGAAAAAATATGACGAAAGAGAGCCAGCCAAGAACTTGGGATATTCTTTTTTCATTTACACATTAGAGGCTCTGAGAGAAGTTCTCTTGATTTTTGTTCACTTAAATAATTCTCACATCGTCATCATTGCTGCTTTGGATGCGACGCATTCCAAATTGGCTGTTCATGCAACCGCAACACAAGAGTAAGTGGAAAGAAACCTCAGCAAACTCTTCCAATTTGAATTGCTTGCCACACAACGTTCGGGTCCGTTCGGTTCGGTCCATCGCAGAGAGCAGAAATAACATTCAAAACCCCAAGTGCTGAGATAAGTAAAAACTAAAGTGAAATTAAGCGAGAATGATGCATGTGAAGGAGCGTTGTGCGAAATGATCGTGGGTCATACTGCCGTGGCCGCAATGAACATTCGCTACTTGACCATCGATGACCGCGGCTCAATGTAGTTTTTTATTTATATCGGCTGCAACAGGCCGAAATTCGCTGGAAATATACACATAAACACTGTGTGTAATGTGTTTGAATGAGTCGCATCTGAGAAATGAACACAAATTCGGCGAATGAATTCACGTCAGGAATAAACAACAAAAAACTTAAAATTACGAACGCTCACATGCACAATCACAAGCGGGCACACACCAACAAAGCCGTAAAGCAACGACCACACTACAACGCTTCTAATCATGGAGACACACTAACCAGATAAACAAATGTGAGCATATGAAGCTGAAAAGTAAAATAAAAATACAGACGATTCATTGTAAATACGATAGAATAAACGTGTCAAATGTAGTAATGGTTGTTGTTTGCATTTTCATTTGAAAATGAACGATCATTCTCTCTCTCTCTCTCGATCAGTATGTGGTAAAACCTATCGGACTCTGTCGGTGTAATTGTAAGGTATGGAATATATCGGAAAGAAGCATGACTTTTCAATGTATTTGTGCCCACATACACATAAACAAACGCGGTAAAACGGTGAGCATCGCTGCTGAGCCCGCAGCTCAGCATAATGCAACAACAACCATCATATGTTTGTTATTGTTGTTGTTGGATTCCTGTTGCTGCTGCTGCTGCTTGTGCACATACGAATTTATCGAGCCGTTTGCTTGTTTCTTTGCTTTGCTTTGCTTACACTACATTTCATTATATTCACCACACCGTGCGGCTTTCAATGATATATAGCATAGTAGAATGTTTCATCGTTATATGATTTTAGTTACAATCCGTTTGTACTTTGGCACTGCTGCAGTATGCTTTATGTGCGTTGATTTTCTGTATTTATACACACATTTTCACTGAAATCTTGTCGTTTTTGCAATGGAAGTCGTGTGAAAAATTGAAAAAAAAATTCATTTGTAATTCGGTTCTTTTTTCTATAGAAAATACTACTTTGGACTAAGTTTTAATGTGTAGATTTGTGAGTGTTAGTTTGCGCCTAAAATACAGTAAATTATAGTGATTCCATGAATTGTTGTGGAATTCAACAGAGTTTCTGTTGCCAATCCAATTTCAGACCACTGCAGCGTTGATGTACACAGTGTGTACTTAGTGCAGTTATTCTGTGCATCCAATCGTAAACAGGCTTAAAATGTGACGATTTAACGAAAAACAAGTGAAAAAATGGAAGAAACCATATCATTTTTACATAACCATCAAAATATCAGAATCTTTAACCGTGTAGTTTGAGACTAAAACAGTAAACTTACCCATTTTGTCGAAGCAGATATCAGATCAAAGTGTACGGCAAAATTTGTTGCGAATGTTTTGATTGAATTCAATACGTAGCTGCCTGCCAGTGCGAGTGATTTAAATTCATAGAATATCTCAACGGCACGCGCAATCGGTGCCACCAAATGCAAAATCGAGGCAACGATATTTTTAGTCAGTGCTTTGAATCATTTGAAACATTTTTCGAATTATATGGAATCAAATTAAAATTTTATATTCATTCAATGGGCGAATGCGCGACCGTATGTTTGAACCATACATATACGCAGCGAAAACGTTGACCGAATAAATGCGAGTGTGAGTCTGGCAAATGGCGACTCACACATTCAAATAGAGAAAAAAAAACACTTCGGTATTACTTATCTAAACTGCGCTTGTTCGGAAACTCGGCGATCGTAAAACCAAGAAAGATACCCAATTAAATTCAATGAGCTAAAACCGTCTCTGTGTAATGTGAATTCCGTTTTAACCGAAACGATTCGTGAAAACACGCAGAATAGAAGTTACGAGATGAAAAAGACACCATAACAAAACAATGCTGGCTAGAAAAGATGTTTTTATAAGAAAAATTTTCTTGTGCAATCTTCGAAAAGTGTGAACTCGAATAAATCAAACTTGATGCATGTGAAAAGTGAAAAGTTTTTCTAAGTAAATCTGTCGAAATGGATGTCATGAGTGTATGTATTTATTATTGGTTGTTTCAATAGAACGACGCATACAATAGTGATTTATAACCGTTTGTCACCGTACCGATTACAAACGACTCGTGTTGCGTGATTTTGTATCCACGGTTTTCTTTTCTCGCGACTCTGCTATTTATTACGGCGACGAAACAAAAATAGCGACTGAAGTGCTAATAAGAACACAACAACAAAATCAAAAAAGAAGTCAGTCGTTGCAGTGGTCACAGCGGCTGAAGCACAGCACCCCTCTCGTGACGTCGACCCATTCACACGGCTTATGCCCATTGCCACAACTGTATTGTTATAGCCATTCAAAGACGCAAATTGCATTGATTCATTAATTGTGCGGATCACTCGGCGGGACACTAAAAACACGAGAGCACAAAACAAAACGTGCTCAATACAAACGTGACAACAAATCCAGCAGCAGTCCCCGTTTAACACATAAATTAACGATCAGAAGTCCATTTTCTGTTGGCCATTTTGCAGCTACATCGTTCGCGCGCGCGCGTCATTCCACATAAGCTTGAGAACAGTGAATGGAAGACAGACGCAGCACAAAGTATGTGCACTTAAATCGGATATGATTTTACACTCTACTCGAAATGAACAGCACAATTTAAATAGCAAACAATCGAAAGAAAGCCGTGTGTGCATCGACATTTTTTGTATTTGGTTTTCGAATGAAAGCAAATCAAGTTCATTAACTTAGATTTCTATTTGCACTTCGTGTGCGAGAATAAATTCAATTGGAGTTAGTTCAATGGGAATTTGATTAGCATTTGTGAACAGAAAACTTCGCCAAGTGAGAGAATCGAAATCGCCATGTTTGCACTAATTAGTAATGATGTTACGATTGTGTTTCTGTGAAATGTACCCGAACTCCGATCGAATTGTGTGCATTTGGTTTAATTTACACAATAACCATAAATTTTGCTCGAGAAACGTGCACCCGTGAACAGCACACGCAAAACGATAATTTAAGCATCGAAACGTTTCCCACAACGAAAGCGTCGAAAGAAAAGTGGTTGATCACATTTCAAACAGTTTTCCGCACACCGGATCGGGTGGGTGAACAAAAAGAAACTAAAATAAGAAAAAACAATCACAGTGAAAAACAAAGGCAATCATTGTTCCATTAAATGATAATCAAGCAATTGAAAAACATCATCAGAGTCGGAAAATTTAATCGAGTGTTATTTTCACAAGGATATGTTAATTTGCATTTACTTCGCCATCATTGATGTTCTTCAACATGATGAAATCATCGATCGATACGGCACACAACGGTGTCATATTGATAAAATGTAAGTTGGACAATTTTTATTTCGTATGGCCCCCTTTTTTATATTTCGTTAAAAAACATACACAATATTCCATCTACACTCAATCGACATTTAAACTCACGTTGCGAATATGTTGCACATTTTAATTTATTCGCCATTGGTATTGTTCTATTTAAAATGGCTGTTGTTGTCGTTGTTGCTGTTTTTTTCCGCTGTCGTCATTTTCACTCATTGTGTATATATTTTTATGGAATCCATTACTCTCGACCGAATTGGAGTCACTGATATTGAAAACAAATAAACATTAACAATCTACATAATATTAATGGCAAAAGTAAAATTGAACTCTAAATAAAAATATGGTCGTTCGCATCCATACAAATGAAATTTCAATGAACGCGCGACAACAATAACCGAGTTTTAACAGTGAGTGTGAGTGAGAGAGAGAGAGAGCGAGAGGGAAAATGAAGCATCGAGCATATGAGCTCTGGGCCAATTGTTGGCGGTGGCGGTGCACGTAAATGTAAACAAATGTATTTCGATTAAATGAATGATCAGTAATGATCGCGAGAACAGCAACAATAACAACGACAGCAAATCCGACCAACCAACGAGTAGATAGAGATTATCGACAAACAGTCTCCAACAATGGATGTTTTTGTACCTTTTCTCTGCGTCCCGATTTCGATGTAAATGTCACATCGCCAGTGTTTGGGTTAGGTACAATGCACAATGTACGCATTCACAGTATTTGATTCGTCGGTATTTTTTTTTAGCTCTTTTTGATTTCCTGTGCGAAAATTTTGCCCGCGGTTTTTCTCTGTGGACATTTTTTTTCGTTTTCTGCTCAGTGTTCATCAATACACACCAAAGGCCCTGAAAGTGATTGATTGCATCAAATAAAACGGTGTTTTTACAATCGATGCAGCGCCATTTAAATAAACGGAGAAACGTTTCTCAATTGGCAATAGCAACGCAACAAGAGAAAAAGTAAACGAACGACGTAGATTTGTTTTTTATCTTACTTTTTTTTGGTAAAAGAAAAACGAGCCCACACCTTTTGATTTCTGGCTTGGATTCGAAGTCACGGAACAAGTCAACAAGTGAAACATGATCACCGTCGTTTATCGTTTTGAGAAAATCTCGGTCTCTTTAACTTTCTTTTGGCAAACAAACAAAAAACGACCACCGACAAACACACACTTGAACGCAATCAGTAAAAACATTTACTGCATAATTATACGAACAGCATACTGGTTGATCTTTTCGTGGCCCATTGTCAATGTTAACTTTTTTTTCTTGGTCAGTAATCACAGTTTTTTTCGATACTTGCTGCACTTATTTCCGAAGCAATTTAATTAACTAATCTTCTATGAGATTCTGTTACGCTACTCAAAGTTTCATAAATATGCGTTTTTCGGTCAAAGGAAAACGAAGATAATGGTGTTAAAATGTAAGCCCAATGGTGTTTCATTTCCTACAAAATGAGTTGTTTGATTGAAAAACAAAACATTGAAAATACCATCATCATCATCATAGATGGCTATCTCGAACGCCTTTTCAAGCGGTCGTCGTTGTTGCATTTCGGCGGAAAGCAATATGGATGAGAATGTATGATGCCGAAGATTGATTGTCTGTTCTTGTTTGCAAGATGAAAACTGCCGACATTCGACCCATCGACATGGTGAATTCATTTTGGGAATCTAATTATAAAGGCAGACTCAATCGCTTAACCATAAATCAGCATCGACTTGAAGTAACTGGCTTAGAAGATTTGTTTGGATAACATTAACGATATCCTGTTCCAATGGAGGAAGAAAAAACAGAACTGCACACAGAACCAGCATAATTTTTCGTATTTGGTATTGTCAGGAAATCGTGTAAATTAAAAACAATGTAAAATTTTTTATATTTTCATCATCGATTCCTTCCTTTATGCTATTGTCTAAATAGAAAACTGCATGAAGCTGGCTCGATGTTCATTCGATTTTATATGTTTTTAAGAGAGCACGTAAAATGGTCATTGATCGGAGTATTAATGCATTGGATGGTCACGTATAATAAAAAAACACTCCTTCCTTTTCGTGGTCGTCTGCCTTATTAGCATATGCCGCTTTGCAATGCCGTCGATGAATAAAATTGATCGAAGCGAGAACGGTCCGAGACCGAAACACTCAATTTAATTAAAAATGCGTGCATGGCCGCCACACTATACGGCAAATCCAAAACAAGTCATTTAATTACAAACACACAGAGTCGGTCGGCGTGCCTACGAGCGAGTTGGTGTCGGTTTGATTCGTGCTGCACAATATCGGACAACGATTTTGTTGACTATGAAAATCAGGGAGACTGCAGTGGCGGAGGAGAGAGAAAAAAGAGTGATGAACAGTTACAAAAAGAGATCAAGTTCATATTTGGTCGTTCGAAAGTGTGATGATAATACATATGTTTTGCCTATCCTAACTGCCTATAAATTCATGACGAATGCAGCGCACGATGCATTACTGTGAAACCATCGCTATGAATTTCGTTAAAAATAACATAATTTTTTTTCGAACTATTGAATATTTATATTGGACCTTAATATTCGAAAGTGACACTTGAGGTGAGGTAAGAAAGAAAGAGAGAGAAAATAGTAAAACTAGCGGTCGTATTTCTAGAAATATCCACAGAGGCGTCACTCTTCTCCAGTAAATGTACATATTAAAAATTTTACACGGAAAAATAGTTTTATTTTTCGTTCATTTCGTTCGAAGATAAACGAGATTTTTTTCTTTCACGTTTTCGTGATTATGAACCGGCACGCTGTTTGATTTATGCTACTCGAAAAAGAAGCAGTAAAACTTAATCAGTGCACGCCAGAAACGGAGCGCGCAATGTTTTGGAGAGCGCATGCAATGCACTTAACCAGAAAGTAACAAGACAGCAAGCTGCTTTGCCAGCCATCAACAGCCATTCATCTGATTTGGTGCGGCTTATGGAAATAAGTTGACAGATTGGTGTGAACGGAATCGCTTCGGCCGATTGCTTGTGATGAATGTTTATTCTAGATGCAGTGTGTTTTTGCGTTGGTTTTTCGCTCTTTTTCAATGACCCTCTTGTTTTAAACTGCACTCGAAGCATCGCTGTATTCCGTTCCAAGCACACACACACCATAATAAAATTTCATTTAAATTATTTTACAATGGGCACCAGTGTTGAATGTTTTGTATGATAGGGGACCCAGCGTAGACGAATGCTTTTTTCGAACTTCCTATGTCATTCTCTCGTAAAAATGCAATCAAATGATGTTGCATAAATGATAATTATCAAGCGCTCTTCACTCGCTGAATGGCCAGCTTTGAATTCTTAATGTTGCAACACACACGTCCATCCGACGAAATACACACATCGAGTGTGTATGTATATCTCCCCCTCCCATTACGATGACATAAACATTGCTCGAATTTGCCCATATTTCAATTATCTCGCGATAAGCGAGAGTTGTGTTTACTAGCGATTGTTATGGGTCAAGCTGAACTTCGTTCGGTTGATATAATTCATTTGAAATTTCGTGGTCCGCTATTTCGGTCATTAATTATGCATGAACGGCATATCATATCTACGCGCATATTCATTCTCAACTGATTGATTGCGTTCCGAGTGATTCATGACTTCGACTCATGCGATTGCATTTGCCATCCGATCGATATCGTATCCCAAACAATTTGTTTACATATGTTCTGTTTCCCAAAACCATAAAAAAAACGAAATGGAAAAAAATGACTGACAAAATGGGAGCATTGCCGATTGATACAGTTGGATGCATTCGTGCGACACACTGAAATATTTTCATCATATACAATACATTTGTGGCGAATACTTTGTTGAGCCACGTGATTAATTACATTTTATTTCTTCTTTTCACTGGCCACAGCCAAGTTCATTGGTTATATAAATTTTGTTCATATCATTCAAGGATAATTTGACATTAACATGTAGACCCTGCACAACTTTCATCCAAAATTAACAGCCCTTGGATAATGTGGAACACAGTCTACATTGCTACCGGAACCACCGAAAAACTCAGTTAGTGAAAAGAACACTGCATTGGAACGGTGCATTATCAAACCCATTTGAAAGTCCTTGTGTGGACAAAGAAAGAAAAAATTGGTTACAAAGTCGTTAATCACGAATAGTTTGTTTTTTTTCTACTATGGGGGTCAATGACTGAATTTTATAGTTCAATCGCATTTGTTTCGTTTTTTACATATATATTGTTATCCTTTGTTACGTTTCTTCCATTTGCCTATAATCGATGTCTTTAGAAAAAAACAACCGTGCTGTACTTCATTATCTATTTATGATCCATAACATTTTCCAACAAAAAAATATTAAGGTCTGTGGCACAAACGGCAAAATATACTTTACAGCCACGATGCTTTTCTATTCTTTATGGCCAAAATTTGTCTATTTTGTGAACATTCAGATTTGTTAGCTACGCTATGTTCTAAGTGCATGACGTGCACCGCTCACGCTGTTAAAAATATCCGGAATAGATTAGATTCATCACTACAAAATTAACGGCAGTTCTGTTTTGTTAGCACTTCAACGATAACCCAAACCTTAGCCATTCAAATACTATTTTCGAAAGTGTAAGAAAACTAAAGCGATGATTTCATTGGTGATAATGATAAAATCCCGAACCAAACAGAGAACTAATGACTTTTAGTCACTGCATTTCCATAAAGAATGTGAAACAGTTTCATCGTTGGAACCATCTCGGTTGAAACTCCATCAAATGGCCGTTGAACGAATAAATTAACCAATGACACGACATATGATTTGTGTTGAATAACGGCATTCTGATTTCATAATGATGATGTAATGAAAACCATATTTCGGTTTCTTGATATGATGACATACGTAATTTTCGAATGCATTTTAACGACGCAAAATGGATTCTCTCAGAAATTGAAAACCCATTGTAAAAACATCAAGATCAAGGCTTGAATTCTTATTGTGTTCTCGTACTGCAATTG